AGAAATGACAAAAAAGCAAATGGCATAATGACGGGCCAAAGGAAAAAGGACAACAAAAACATAACTTTGGTTGCTGCCTTCATGACTGAAATGTATTGACTGTTCAGTCTATCTGCATTATAACTGCTACATTTTGCCTGAACACAACAATCAAGTTATACTGTCAAGAAGTACAAGTAGCAGACTACAAAGAGCACAAACACAAAGTTCTCAATAATGGATACAGCACCAAAAAATATGACTTACGCGCTGAGAGCTCCACCACCTTTAGCATGACCGTCCAACTTTGTGATGATCACAGAGGCCACATCTACTTTGTCCTTGAAAGCTTTTGCCTGTCCAGAAACAAAAAATCAGACACACTGAACGACAGTCACCCATAATTTCTACTCTTGCCGTATATATTTCCCCCTATCGCATTCACACTGAGGCTATTCTTGGCCAATTTTGGTTTTTATATCTTATAAAGATATGCATATGAATGCGTAGTAAAAACAAAATATTTTTACTACAAGTATCAGGTAAACTTACTAAGAAATCAGTATTCCTGATGTAAACACAAGCGTTAAATATTGTATATTAAATCTCCCTTTAGTTCAAATAAAAATTTAAGTTTTCGTAAGAGTTTTATGGCATTTGCAACACAATAAGGTCATATAAATGCCGAAGATTAGAGGTGTTACAAGAGAGTAACAAACACAGAAAAGAAGGAGAGATCAGGATGATAGATGTTTGATTGAAAAAAAGAGCAAACCACACCAGAGCATCCGCCAACCAATAAAAATTTGAAGTATGTGGAATTACATTCATCTTATCATGCACTCCTTTTCAAAAAGGACAGTATAAACTGATACGGTTTCATAAACAAAATAAAGTACGTAAGTACAATTTCAAGAGACACCAACACAGCTTTAACACCCACCTGGACTTCACAAGCCTGACCAATGGTAGCGTCCATCACAAAAATGATATTGTCTGGCCGCTGGAAAAAAAAAGGAGACAATCTGGTAAGTACTCAGACACAACCATACATCTTTCCTAAAAGCTATAAATATTGTAACTGTTCCTCACATAATGAAACCAGACTAATGCATTGGAAAAAAAATAGAATACTAATTTCAATTCCCCCTGTCTTCAGTGAAAAAGGGGAAAATATTGTGAGACCATGCAAAGCATGTATATATAATCATATATTTATAATATATGTTCGTGTGTGTGCATATATGAGTGTATAGGCATCGACCCAGAAATGCATACATTTTGTGGATAGGATCAACTTTCCTTTACAGTTCTTCTGGGAAAATTTTCTGCGCACAGCAGCCAGTATGACACCACAGAGGGAGGGGTATTGGGGTACAAATTAAGTTTCTTGACAAATGTGTTTTGATTTTTAAAAATCAGTATCATATATTCTCAAGGGGAACAAGCAAATTTCTGACAGATTTCTCTCTATGATTTCAAGGTAAAAAGGCATGGACTTGAAGGTGTAGGAAGGAGACTTTCCCAAGTTTGAAAAAGCTATGTAACAAAAAGAACAAAAGAGAACGTGGAGAATGTAACAAAGGAAACAAAATCTACCATGGAACAATACTAGAAGAACTGTACCACAGAAAAAAAACCCTCCAAGAAAACTTCATCCAACAAAACTTGTCATGTTTCTAAACAAGCAAAATCTACAGAGCATTCATCAATGAGGAGGGCACAACTTACGACAGCCTGCTCCACTTGCAACATTTCTTCAAACAGAGAATCCTGCTGCTTGTGTCGACCACTGGTGTCCACGATGATGATCTCAAAGTTTTCATCTTTGAACTTGTCCACACCCTCCTGGGCTATCACCACAGGATCAATCTCTGTGTAGCTGTTGGACAGGAAAAAGATTTTTAAAAATGTTGTCAGCATCTAACACCACACAACTTAAATTAATAGGTAAAAATCATTAAATTGTATATTCTTGCTCATCTCACTTTTGAAAGCATTAGTTCTATTCCTATCCTCCCTTTTTTCTTTACCAAGACAAACTGTACGACTAAAAGACTAAATACGTCAAAGGGGAAAAGACAAACAGGAGCACAGAGAATGCATACATAGATGTGAAACTGTAAATGTACTTGCACAAGGTTCATAACTGATGAGTGTGCATGTTAGTGGGTGAGAGAGAACACAATGACTTGTGGGAGCAAAAGAAAACTGAAACAAAAAAAACCCCCAAATGTTTCTTTGTCACTGAAAAGGCAATAAATTTTTTACCTTGCATGAAAGACAAAAAATAAATATAAACAAAAAACAAACATTCTTGCATACTGTATCAATAATTCCAAACTATACAGTCACCTCACAAAATCAGGCAGAAACTGGAACAAATACTTTGAGTAAGAAATCTGAACACATCAACTCAGTAGATACCAAAATGATAGCTCTCAAATGCAGGACTCATAAGAGATGAGCTAACCACAATTCCTGTAAAACACACGCAGTGCCCTTAGAACATAAGTTTGATTTTGGAGGTAACAAACCTTCCGTAGAACGGAATTCTGGCTTTGGTAGCGTTCTGTTTCAGCTGGTCGAAAGCTCCAGCACGGAAAGTATCAGCACAGATCAGGCAAGTCTTCCAGCCTTTTCGCTGATAGTAGTAGGCCAGCTGCAGAGATATCACAAAGTGAATTAGTTTTCTCCTCAGATATCATCAATGTGTATTGCTGTTTTAAACATACACATCTATCTATATGAGCTTTTTCCAATAGGTGGGTACCTAAAATGTACCACTGAGGATTGATGATAAAGTGTTTATTATTTTGTTTTTACTTGAATTGTTCTATTCATGTATATCTCTTCCTACAAAACATGTATTTACAGACCTACAGACGGCATGCTAAGCTGTGTAACTGGCGTTACATAACATCAAGTCAAATTCTTTCGGACATAACTATGATGACACGTTTTTTAGAATTTGAACATACAAAATTATTTTTAACAGTTTCCTTATTGCTTTAATTTTCAACATAAGCATGAAGAATATATAAAATGGTGAGGATCATAGAAACAAGAAATTCTGAATGTCATTGTGTGTGCATTTGTGTCATCATAGTCATATCCGAAAGAAATGAAAATCTTTCTGTTTTCATGTCTTAATTTCTTTTATGAAAATTAGAACAAATAAAGATTCAGAAGATTCAATTTGACTCACAATGCATGTTAATGATGAAAAAATGCCACTTTATTCACATTTTACTATGAATCTCTGCAAAATAGCAAATATTGTTCAAACATAACCACGATGACACAAAGTGAAAAATACCATGAAAAGTAATTTATGGTACATAAAATTATTTTATTAGTTTTCTCATTGCTTTAATTTTCAAACGTAAGCATGAACAGCATATAAAATCACAGAAAAAAGAAATTCTGAATGTCTTTGTGTTCGCATTTGTGTCATCATAGTTAGGTCCGAAAGAAATGAAAATCTTTCCACTTTCATATTTTGAATTCATTTTTTGTAAATTTTGGCAAATAAAGATTCAGGAGATTCAGTTCGACTCATAATGCATGATAATGGTGAAAAAATGCCACTTAATTCACATTTTACGAGACTCTAGGCAAAGTACCAAATATCTTTCGAACATAACCACGATGATATATTACTGATAAATGTTTGTAACATTGGAACATATCAATTTACATCAAACTTTCCCCTCTGGTTGACATCTAGCCAAGCACACGTGATCGCATCTAGATCTACCACTACTTGACCATTGGAACGCAGTGCGATGTTAATCATTACTTGGTTTAAATTTAATTAAATGGGGGGGAAACATTTTTCGGACATAACAGCTTTTTCCGAACATAACATGTTAAGATTTGATGACAACATAAGAAAACTTAAATGAATTCGTCTCATCCATCGTTATTCTTCTTGGCATCTTGCATCGCACAACAATACGCTTTGAATAGATCGACAGGAACAATGCACGTTCCTCCACCCCTATTATTTTTCGTTTTCTGATTGGTTCTTTCGAGCATAACAAATGACGACAGAGCATGAGGCGTCGCAAAATTTCTGTTTATTATAAAATTAAGCACAGTTACAGCCTTGGAACCAGTCAGGGCAGAGAGTAAACATTGAACGATATTATGCTCATTCAAGGGCCCCAAAATAGCTGATAGAAACAAAGTCACCGGGAATCAAAGTTGCCTTGCGAAATGACTACACGAGTTATGCTCAAAAATAAAAATCTAGAAGACCCACAAAGAAAAAACAGCTATAGATATCATTATTCCTGATATAGCACCACAAATAATGTAGTTATAGTACTTAAAGTGTAGAAGGAAGAGTTTCTCAGCAATTATTTCAATGTTGAACGGGACGACAGAAAAAGTACGAACTCGACATGTCACACAGATAGAGAGAGAGAGACAGAGACAGAGAGAGAGAGAGAGAGAGAGAGAGAGAGAGAGAGAGAGAGAGAGAGAGACAGAGAGAGAGAGAGAGAGAGAGAGAGAGAGAGAGACAGACAGAGAGAGAAAGGACAGTCGCGTACGTGCGCGCGCCTGTGTGTGTGTGTGTATGTGTGTGTGTGTGTGTGTGTGTGAGTGCGTACGAGCGGGCAAGCATGTGTGTATGTGTGTTTGCAGGTGGGAACCATCTGAGTTACAACCCATGTCGCTGTGTAAGACAATCTCTTTCCTCCTTGTTTCCTGAAGGAAAAGGTTGCAAAATCCTCCCTACCTTTGTGCAAGTTGTGGTCTTTCCAGATCCCTGCAGACCAACAAACATAATGACGTTGTTCCTGCCTTTACTGGGTTGCCAGGCCTTCACACCAGGATCGATCAACTGCAGAAACAAAACGAGCATGTTGCAACTTTTACCATTATCACGCTGCTTTGACGACCCCATTACACATAAAAATAATTTTATTATTAATAATAATAATAATAATAATTTTAAACATGATAATAATAACAATGCACTTGCAGGCACTAGGTCAAAAAAATAATTTTCTTACAGACATTATTGAGCTATCAATAAAAGAAAAGGCATTAGCCATAGCCCATCTCAAAAGGTCAGATTTACAGAATGGATATCTAGCATTCAGGCAAAGAAAGAACAGATGAACTTCTGGATATTTTCAAAACACTCTAGAGCAAAAATATTCTCTGAGGCGATGACAAACAGCATCCAATTCTATTTGCATACTTCTTGAGCAACCAGAATGGTTTGAGTCTGAGATTATTGAAATATATTCCATGTGCTCGTGACAGCGATGTTGAATGTAATATACAGTAAGCTGACAGCGATGTTGAATGTAATGTACAGTAAGCTGACAGCGATGTTGAATGTAATATACAGTAAGCTGACAGCGATGTTGAATGTATAGTAAGCTGACAGCGATGTTGAATGTAATATACAGTAAGCTGACAGCGATGTTGAATGTAATATACAGTAAGCTGACAGCGATGTTGAATGTAATATACAGTAAGCTGACAGCGATTTTGAATGTAATTTACAGTCAGCTGACAGCAATGTCAAAAGTAATACACAGTAAGCTGACAGCGAAGGGGAGCAAACCACACTAAGCTGACAGCGATGTTGAATGTAATATATATTTAAAAACAGCACAATTGAACCAAGAACAAGACACTATAGATTCCCTTGTCTAAGGTTGATTTTGGGTCACGCTTTGACGAACTATGTGCCAGCACAGATGAACAAATCTCTCTCACCTTCACAAGCTCTTTGAACACAGCTGACTGGATCATGCGACGCTTGTTGAGACCTCCGGCCATCTCATCAAAATCAATAACAGATCTGGGGAAACATTTAGAAACTGAATATCACAAAAAAAACCCAAAAAATAATAAGTAGCATTTATGCAGCACATTTCCATTTTCTGGGGAAAAAAACAACTCAATGTGCATTATATCCATAAAGATATCACACTATAACCCTATCCGTACGCCCTGAGGTCATTTAGTACCCCTGGGGTTGTATTCTTCACATTTTAAAATACTTCTAGTACGAAGATCTCTTTGAAATTTTCAGTATTTCACAAACAATCATTTTGACAGACTGCTATGCAAAGCGTACGCATCTGATTAACGAGTAGATTTCTTCTTTGGAAGTGGTGGCACAGAGTTCCCCCCGTCCTGTGGATACGACAGTAAAACACGATGTATGGGTAGGGTTAAAAATTAGTGGGTACGTGTTGATATAAAACATAGTATGTATATAAAAAAAATTGTATGAAAAATTTAGTCACGCAGCGAGCCTGGCAAGGTTCACAATAGTTCAACAGGACAGTAAACATATAATCCCTCATTCTGATGATAATGACGTTTAACCCATCATTCAGTCGGGAATAATTATTTATGAGATCTGAAAATGAAAGAAAAACAAAATACTGCATGTTACAGCCGTTTGTCCATACAAAAATTCCAATTACAGTCGAATCTGCTCTAACGACCACCTGTCCTAGACATTAAATTGTCCAAATGACCACTTCCCATCTCCATCTTTTTTTACATTACTGTCCAAGACACCCAACTGTTGAAGTCAACCAAGTCATTCTTCAATAACGGGTAGCCATCTTGGATATAATTTAGTCTGTACTTTAAAAAAAAAAGAAATAACGAAAAAACTTGTGATTGTGTGCAGTACCTGACATTCTCTCTGAGCTGTTTCACCAGTCGGATGTTCACATCAGCCTCTAGCAGAGCAGCACAGATATCTTTGAGCATGCTATTCAGCACCTGTTCAAAAAAACACATTATAACAGATTATAAAATCTAAATAATGCTTCAAATAGATCCCTCATAAGAACGTAAGTACTTAATATGAATCATGTCTTTATTGATAAGCTTGAAATTTTAAAAACAGAATTAGCCATAACAAATCAATGAGCAAAAAAGTATAAAGTGGTACGTACCTGCGAACAAAGATTACATTTTGGGACAAAATGCATTATCATAATATTCCTTCAACATTGAAATATTGCCTTGAAAACCAAAGCAACAAAGGACATCTGTCTCTGGTCTGAAGAGTTTGTGATTTTTACAGAGAATTATAAAAGGCTTCATAACCAATAAAGAACTTTAAATCCCTGGGAGAAATCTTATGTAAATAGACACAAGTTATGCCTTGGAAAAAAAAATCGAAGAAACATCATGAAAATTATAAAGAGATATACAACCATTTACCATTGTTATTTTTAAGAGAGGTAAATCACACATGCAAGGCTTTGTTACTCTATTTGTGGAATGCGAGAAGTAACTCATTTTGTCAGCACGTCTCACAAATGTTTATTACTTTCCGGACCTTTGTTCGATACTGTAGTTGAA